ACAAGGTTGATGCTCCTTCTAACAACCAGAACAACGATATATTTATTTACATGAAATGTTCGGACAATGTACGATACCGGGAGAAATAGTCAAATAGTTACGGAAATGAGGAGATACAAGTTGTCAGTGCTCGGAATAAGTGAAATCCGTTGAACCCAAGCTGGACGGAAAGGAATAGGTTCGGGAGAGATGCTGCTGTACTCCGGTGACGGAGAGGAAAATGCTTCACACACTCAGGGAGTTCCTCTGATGCACGAAATGCACTTATAGGGTGGGAATCTAATAGATCCAGGATCATCAAAAGCATCATTCAAAACAAAGAAGGAGAAAACCACAATGAATGTTATCCACTGCTATGCACCCACCAATGATAGCACTGACGAATAGGCTGCAATTGATTGCAGAGAAGTACTCAGGAAAGGACCTGATTATCCTGATGGGAGATATAAACGCCAAAGTCGGGATGGACAATACCGGGTATGAAGATATCATGCGGCGACATGGAACAGGAGAAAGGAACGAAAATGAGCAGAGATTTGCAAGCCCATGTTCATTCAACAAATTGGTTATAGACGGCACAATATTCCCACACAAACACATACACAAAGCTACATGAGTCTCGCTGGATCGCACCACGGAGAACCAATTAGTTCATATTTGCATCAGTAAAAAATTCACAAGGCCAATGAGAGACGTGATAACCAAGAGGGGGAGTGACATAGCTTCAGATCACTATCTGGTTGTGGCCAAGATGAAAGTTAAGCTGAAGAGGCACTGTACGACTGGGAAAACAGCATTACAAAGGTTTAATACAGCGTCCCTTTGAGATACTAACAAACTCAACGAATTCAATATAACTCTCAACAACAGGTTCTAAGACTTACAGGATCTACTGAAAGAAGAAACTATCATGGAGGATAAATGGAAATAGAGTCACACTAACTGTAACTTGAGAATATGAGGACCTAACATTATTTTGTGGAGGAGGATAAAGTCAGAAAATTTCAAGTCAGGATCTAAACTTTGAGTCTTTAAAAAAAAAAGTAGGGAAGGTGATATGACGGGTAGAAAAGTCAAAATTCGATTGATTTACTAATTATGAGTTTTGTTCAACATTATTTCCGTTTTGATTCAATGTAATGATTACTCAATCTAGTATTTGTATTGTTTTCTCGTATGATATTTTATCCTGTATAATATACGATATTCTTGTATTCCATTGAACTGGACTATGCTCAGTATGTGATTTGTTATAACCCTAAGTATTTTTCATATATGTGATTTCATTCTAATTATTAATCAAAATGGGTGTACAATCAATATATAAATAAGTGTATTTTCTACTACGGTAGTCGTCGTCGTGTTTTGGGGTTAATAAAGCCTCACTTATGCCAGTCTTGTGTTATTACTTTCGCCTCGTGGGAATTACGGAGGTCCCTCGTTCCGAGTATAAGTGATCAGCGATTCCGACATAACAACCAATGACGACCAGATATAACAAGTAAGTATTCAAACGACAAGACATATCAGTGGCAACAGTTTAAAAAAGTAGCAGTAGTAGTATGAATTATTAACACTGGGATGCAAGATCAGCCTACTGACAAGACACACAAAGTTTGAAACACAAGTCATATAGTTGTTATCAATATGAAGCATTGGAGGCATGTGAAATACATAATCAGCGACGACGTCATTCTGGAGAATAGGATTGGTTATTGACAGAATACATACTGTAATATTTATAAATTTTGCAAACATAGAATAGCATAAATAGGTTGTTTAGATGACATAATAATAACACCTTATGTGTTTTCATAAAAAAAGTATTGTCAACGAATGTACAATAAATAATTTATGCATCAGTATTCAATCTTGGTTTTTCACTTCATTCTGTACTTACTATTAAACAGTGACCGTTATTAGTGTTTACGAAGATAGTGTATTCAGTGATTATTTAATTCGTTTAATTTCTAAAATGAAACTGACTTTGATGAAGTAACATTCTATTCATATAACTCTTTCTTTAGCGAGTTCGTTTACTACCAGATAGGTTCGCTAACCCAATGTCAAACCCTCCTGCTGTATCCGTGCCTAAGACCGACAGTAGCCCCAGAAGGGTTCCAGGTGGTGTTCTATTCATATATGTAGTGCAGTTTTTTATTCTTGTTGGGTGCAGAAAATTGTTAAATGGAATCAATAGATAGACCAGTATTTTCTTAGTAAGATGACTAAACTGTAAATTTTAAGAAAAGTCAAAATTAATGGATGTAATGTCAAGTGATTCCAAATTAGAGACAAGTTTTATATTTGGATCGGAAATTAAAAAAAAAGCGAATTCCATTTACAGCTGATCAATCAATGAATAGTGACCAATTTCATGTATGTCAAGTTCTTTTTAGTGCTAATTGAATTCTGTCGATCAGTTTGTAATGTGGCCATTTGTTTAAATGACTCGACATCGCATGCACTATGCTAAGATGAAAGATGGTAAGATCAAATCCACCAGGTATGCATTAATTTCCTCCCATTACATGTACACTATACTGACGTGTGCCAAACTAGCACGAAACCTAAGTCATGCAAGGTTTCCTGTCGACTAACTTTAATTACCACTTTTACAAGCGAATGTTGTCTTTAAACTGAATTAATAATATCTACTTACATAGTTCATAATGTAATTGATATTAAGCAAATACCAAATAATTTCAGTTTTATAAATACAAAGGTAGAGAGAAAAGAAAGAAATTCTGAGTCCCAATTTGTATCTTTACATTTTATAAGTATTGACTTCTCTAAAAATCGTAGAACAGTTTTCATCGCTGACTAGTCTTAGTTAAACAACCGTGGCCTCACTTGTAGATTGAAAACAAGACCTTCAGTCTTGTTACGAGCTCTTAACCTCTATCCCACTGAGCTAGAGCCTAATGATGTACATATCAAATTTCAATCAATTCCCAATATTTCACTATCCCTTTTTGGGTTGTGAGACCACACTATTGATGAGTCCCATTCTAAAACAAAACATCTACACAATCCTCTCTAGTTTTCAATGTTTGTCTAACTAAGATCAGCCTGTGAAGTAAACTATGAAAACTTTCAAATAATCAAACTACAAAAGGTAGAACAATACTGCCAAATAGAGGAATAAGCTATGCTTCTAATTATTTATCATACTATGGAACCATTTAATGATTGATTTTCCATGATTTAAAAAAAAAATAATCAACCAATCAGTATTACGCCCATTTTCTGCATACTGAATGAATTTCATTCACATCGCATGTAACAAAACTAGATTAGTACATATAGTTCTAAAACAAAACAAAAATAACGGAACAGGCGAAAAGCAATTTGATGAATCAACCGAAAAAACCCAACTTTTTAGTGCTTAGTTAGACTATGAATCTGTCGTCGACTTAAATGCTACATTCTTTGCTTTATCGGTTTATCAGAAAGGGAACTTGTTGAGATTGTAATAATTTTAATAGTTGAATTCATGAGTCAACCTAAGCTAGACCACTATTGAAACCCGGATGGCTGTTTCTTCCGAATATGGAACTCCTCAGCAGTGTACGTTTACGATCCCGTACGCGGAACTCGGACCCAATATCTTCGGTCAAGCGCTCGAACGCCTAACCTCAAGACTACTGAACTGGAATCCAACGGTGTTAATGTCTAATTTCAATTGACCCATGATATTGCACAACCCTTCGTGTATTGTCTGAGGTGGGTAACTGTTTCCACCTGACACGAGTTGTACTCCATACAGAATTCCTATGATGAATTAAACTGCAAAATCGTTCATGGAGGACAGTTGACAAAGTCGTTCGAAGTAAAAACCGGTGTCAGGCAAGGTTGCTTACTATCATACTTTCTCTTTCTCCTGGTGATCGACTGGATCATGAAGACGTCAACATCTGAAGGGAAGCATAGGATACAGTGGACAGCTAGAATGCAGCTGGACGATCTAGACTCCACAGATGATCTGGCTCTTCTGTCGCACAAGCAACAACAAATGCAGGAGAAAACGACCAGTGTAGCAACAGTACGTCTTAATATACACAAAGGTAAAAGCAAGATTCTACAACACAACACAGCATGCACCAATCCAATCACAATTGACGGAGATTTGGAAGATGTACAAACCTTTACGTATTTGGGCAGCATCATCGATGAACACGGTGGATCTGGGGCAGATGTGAAGGCGCGAATCGGTAAAGCAAGAGCAGCATATTTACAACTGAAGAATATCTGGAACTCAAAACAATTGGCAACCAACACCAAAGTCAGAATTTTCAATAGAAATGTTAAGACAGTTCTACTATATGGTTCGGAAACCTGGAGAACTATGAAAACCATCATCCAGAAGATACAGGTGTTTATTAACAGTTGTCTACGCAAAATACTTCGGATCTGTTGTTCAGACACTATCAGCAACAACCTACTGTGGGAGAAAACAAACCAGATCCCAGGGGAGGAAGAAATCATCAAGCTACATCGCGAGGCAAGCGCTCACTTAAAATTCTGAAGGCCAAAGAACACACTACGTCGGGAAATAGAAGCAAATATGAGAAGGATGAATAACAACTGGAAAAAACTGATCAGGACAGGGTTAGATAGAGTGTTGGTGGGCGGCCTATGCTCCTTCACGAGGAGTAACAGGCGTAAGTAACATATTTCACTTTGTTTCTGAACTATGTTGTTAATATCCCATCTTTCTCATAATCATTACTACTATAATCATTTTGATCTAGTTTACTAATCATCTTTATAAATTCATCTTATCATGTTAATCCGATTTGATGATTTAAACTAATGAACATATGTGTTAGGCTCTATATTTAATAATAACTATTTAAACAGTATAAAGTAAACTTAAGAACAACTATATCTAAATTGTGTTAAAATTAATTGTACTAATCAATTATCTGGACTGGAATTGAAATCTACAACCCACCTAACTAATCAACAACAACAAATAACAAGAAAAACGACATAAAGAATAAAATAAATAACTTTTTATTGTTGTTGATTAATTATTCATAAACAAACATGCCAAATAAACAAATAGACAACATTTATTAATATTAAGTGGATAGTATACAAATAAATACATACATACTGAATATCATATTCAAATAATTTCGGATAGATATATTTATAGAGAAAGGGGGGAGGGGTAAGGGAGGGACAAATCGAAATTTCCAAAATGCAGAAACTACTTTTTCCTCGTAATATGCATACAATGTAATATATAAGTAGTAGTAATAATAATAATAATATGATTAGTCGTAGCAGGAAAAAAATATATAACAATAGTGAATTCCAGAAAGTGTTTACGTGTGTATGTGTGCGTGCCTCTAGATATGTGAATGAGTGAGTGTTCAACTCTTCATCAGTGAGAGATTTTTGTGTAGATATATTAGTAGTATGTTATTAATTTTAATTTTTTTTTTAAATGTTGAAAAATATCAACTAAGGCTAATTAATAAACTATTAATATATATTGATCCTATGCTCCACTGGGAGTAACAGGCGTAAGTAAATCAGTCAATCAGTAACAACGTAGAACTTTATACGTAAGTACGAACGTACATCAGCTCGAGTTGACATACCACATTAGCACAGAGATGTTAAGTATATATATATATATATTGATACATAGCAAAAGTTAATTAATAATTATTTATTAATTTATACAAATTTCACTTTCTGTATTCACAACACAATGCATTAATTGAATTAAATTTTCTAATCCATGACGAAAACCATTAGTTAATTCACATGTCCAATAATTTTTATTATATTCAATATCATTCGAGTAATTTTTCTTAGACCAATGTGCAAAATCAATTAAATAAACTTGAGCATGTATGTTAGAAGGAATAGAAGTATCATTATTATTACCGTTATTAGTACTGATTTTATGAAGAGAAGAAATATTATTAAAGTTATTATTAATTAATTGATTATTCAATATTGTTGAAGTTTTCACAGTTGGATTTTTTGTTGTACATGAAGTATGATGTGTGTTGCTGTTGTTGTTGTTAATTATGGTGGTAGTGATGGGTGCTGAGGATGATGCAAAACATGATTTGGAAGGATAATGTTCATTATTATTATTGTTACTTGGCAATGACTCGTGAATCAATAAAAGTGAGGAACGACAGAATGTGAGCTCTTTTGCACCATATTCCACATACCAATTTAAAATACGACTAAGTTGTATGATATAATTTTGAGCAAGTTTTACACTATAGGCAGGATCTGCACCTAGAAATGATTTTACACCTGTGAAATGCATAAACATAACTATGTAAATACACAAAAAAACTAAACTACATGTAAACAACTTGAAACCATTAGATTGAGTAGTTTTTAAACACGGTACCGTCTAGTTCAATGCCCAAATAGTAGTATAAACAGTCTTGACACAATCTGTCCCTTAAAGCTGAGTACATTAATCTCTACTTGATAAATGAGTTACATCAACTTTTATGTAGCAAAATTATTGTCAGGCTTTTTGCTGTCAACACTTTCATCTTGTTGAATACTATGATTGGTCCATCCATAATTTTCACTTAATTGAAGTATATATTGTGGAATATTTTGCAAGTACCTAATGTCAGATCTAAATAGACGACGAAGATTTATTGATTTTTACTCTAGCAGTCGTTTTACAGAATCACAAAAAAGTCTCAATACATAATAAAAATGATTAAGTGTTCTCAATAAAACTTTAAAACATGTGCAGGATCTCTGACTAGGTCATGGGTGCGCACTGCTGAAAAATTCTCATATTAGAGTGAAACAGCTGTCCAGTGATTCCTAGTTTTCATTGGGACACATACGCAAGATCCATCTGAGACGAATACAGCTAACATAATAAGGAAGGTAAGTACTCTCTATAGATGGACACCAGAAATTGTTTAAGCATCTATATAAAGAATACCATTTGAGATGCATGGTATTATTTAGTAATTGACTGATACATGGTAACTGAGTTGGGAAGTAATCTCGAGTTATCCTCCTTAGAGTACAAAAGTTTAATACGACTAGTCCAATAGGTGAAAAGCTTGACTAATCAAATGGAAAATTGATTTTCTACTTCAATCTACCTAAAATGTTGGTTTTACTGTTTGGGCACATTTATCACCTACATAAGAGTAAGAAACACAGATTCATTTCTACGATGTTTTATGTTCTCTGTACTTAATAATAATTAAATCGTGAGTATTCCATAATGATGTACGGAACGCAACATCATTAAAAATATTTATTTCACATATAAACTATCTCAATCACTTAGATTAATGTTAGAACATTACAAATAAACTTCTGATATATGTCAAAATTGTGGTTTTTACATTCTTCACTATCCCTCAAAATGACTCTCAATCCGATCCCAAGATACTGAGCAGGCAAGAAAACCAAAGGTTTTATTCTGGTTTCAACCGATATGGTTACTAATAGAATTAAGTAGTTTCCCATTGGAACAAACTCTACCACTTCGATAACTATCGCGGATGCCAAACAAGATGTTATGAACGATAATCTGTTGCAAATATCTTGGTTACAAAGAAAGCAACGACAGATGAACCCGATAATTGAGACGGATAAAAGTTATTGTCTTTCTAAGAGTAATTCATCAGATTCTATTCATATTCTTTAATCTATTAAATAGCTTCTTAATAGATATCGTTGAATTTCGTATATTCCTTGAAGATAAGAAACTTTTTATAAGGGTGATTTTCTTCATTGTTATTACTCTAAACTACTTTTAAACTTCTCCACTTTTGTATCATCATAATTTGCAATGTAACTCATTTTGTTCATATAATAAAATTATGTAATTTATAATTACATCTTTACTGACTATTTTAAATGAATAGAGAAATAGATAGATAGATACCAAGTATTTAATAGTCTCATGATCTTAACCATTGAAATTACTACAATCTCCACAAAACCCCTTCTGATAATAATCAACATATGCTCACTAGTGACTGGCTTCAAGAGGTATGTCCTGGAGTTCTAGTGAGAAGTAGTGACCAGTGGAGTTCAACTAGGTCTGTTGTGAGATAGTAACTCACTGAAGACAATGGTGGGTGTGTCGCTCAATTTTGTGGATTGGTTGAAGTTAGACATTAACACCATTAGATGCCGGTCGGCTCAGTAGTCTAGTGGTTAAGTGCTCGCGCGTGAAACCAGTAAGTCCTGGGTTCGAATCTCGCAGGGGGCGAAGTCGTGGATGCGCACTGCTGAGGAGTCCCGCAATAGAACGAAACGGCCGTCCAGTGCTTCCAGGTTTTCCATGATGGTCTAGCTTTAACTGACTCATGATCTTAACCATTGAAAATATTTTATGGTCAGTATTATGACAAGATTAACACAACTAATAATAACTAACCAATTGAATAAACTTGTTCTGGAGTTAAAGTACGTCCAAATGCTTTAGGGAATTTAATTAAACAATGATTTTTTGTATCGGATATCTGTAAAATAGAATATTCTTTTTGTAAAAAAGAAAGAATAATAATGTAGATTACATTAATCAATTTACTGTACAGTAATTGACATTCAGCTGTAAAGTCTTTAAGTTCTAACTGGTAATTATTTCTTCTGAATTCTATGGACAAGCTACAATAGTCAGTCAGTTACAACGTAGGACCAGGCACATATATGCATCAGTCCAAGTTGCCACATCTCATTAGCACAAAAAGATGAACACCGAATTCATAGAAATAGTTACTTCAGTGGCAGTAATATATAAAAGAAAGATTATGTATAATGATGTAGTACAGAAAGAAAGGTATAGAGTAATTTTAATCCTACCGTTTAAGGGCAGACAAAGTGTGTATACACCTACGCGATTGTGTTAGATTATAAGCCATGTTACTAAGAGTCTCCAACCAGTGGTTATGATAGTCACGCGGAACCCAACCAAGTAGCCTGCATCTACCAATATGGCTAAGATTAGAAGCTAGTGACTTCAAGGACTGATGTCACGTTTTGGTTTGGACGCCCCTAACATTCTTCCAACCATCCCCAACATTGGTCAGCATTGCGCGTCGTGGTAATCGGTGTTCAGGCATAAGCAACACGTGGCTCAACCATCTCAGTCGACGAAGATTCACAACCTCATCAACGAATTTACCATCACTCCCTAATACCCTGCGTCTAGCCTCACTAGTACTTACCCGGTGATCCCAACAGATCCGAGCAATATATCTAAGGCATCTGTCATCAAATAGTAGTAACTTACGAGTATCTTCTGCTCTTATTGGCCACATTTCGCAGCCGTGAAGTGAAACAGAACGAGCTGCCGTGCAGTATACCCGTCTCTTAATTGATAGACGGATATCTTGTCTTCCAAATAAATCGAATTTTAATGTTTAATGAGTATTGGTGAAGCTTACCTACGATGTAAAACAAAAATAACTTCTTTACCCACCTCACTAACACACATCAAATGTTTGGTCTCATAATCTATCCAACAGACATAGTCTCCAAGTGTAAATTATACTTGAAAAGTCATTAAAACGATACACAACTTACCTGCATACCAGATAAAACAAATCCTATTTTACGACGCCACATATATTTAAGCTGTTCACGAGAGATTTGATCTTGTGAAGAACCTGGAAAATAAGTGACCGTACCCATTTTGAAATCACATATATTTGGTTGTTTGAAATCGGCCACCAGATCAGTTAAAGCCATATAGTAAGCTGTTACAAAGAATTATAGAAAAACAGAGAACCAATTAATAAATTAAATCATTGTAATGAATTTTTCTGTCCAATGGTAACAACTTAAGATATATTATGGACTTGACTCGCCACTTGTAATATCCTTAGTACGGTATGTTAAATGATATGACCTTTGTGAATTGCTATGCGTGAGGTCGACTATGACTGATTCACCTTTGTGGGTAGTTAACTTACTGAATTGGCTAATAACAGCCTGCTATAGAAAAAACACTGGTTAGCTACATAGAACCCTTTTCTCAAGAACCTAATATGAAAGTGAGAAGAAGACAGTCATATTAAACTCTATATCTTTAATGCAAAAATTCACATGGGCTAAATGTTATTGATTACACATTACGAATTTAGCATGATGGTTTGTCGTTCCTTGTGTTGTTCATTTTACCATAATACATATATTCTTGTGAAATATCATACATGAGTAGTATCTCAGTAGTGAATAGACAAAGATAAATTTAATACTTCACATTTCAAGAATAAAATCTTTACGAATACGTAAAATAACACTTAGTGTATTGATTACGGAACGTGATCAGTGTCAATAATAAACCGCTCAAAATAATCTTCAAGGTGATCCACTGATTAGTCTAATTTTAGCCAAGTAGAGCCAATGAAACAATCAAAGAGATAATAGAGAATTTTTATGGAAATTCTATATAACTCCTAATGGTTTTACTACTCTATTTTTAGTGGTATAGGGTTATGAAGATTATTTTAGGTATATTGAAATATCTACTGATTCATATTGATCTTATTTTCAATTAGGAAGATTCGATTGATGTACCCTAGTCATGTAGTAATTGGGAGTAAAAGAAATCACTGGAGATTATCTTAGCCAGTCCAAATACCCAGACTGAATTAGGTGTTGCGAGGTACGAACATGAAACAAACAGTATCATTAAAAATATATCATTACCTTTAGTTCCTGGGCATTGAAAAACTCCATAATAAGTTGGAATAAATTGACGAAGACGTTTAAGTGCTTCCGAAGCATCCGCAGAAAACACATTCTGGTAAAACATCACTTCACGCATACCTCTTTCACGATCTTGTAATGACTTATAAATAATTGGTTTAGATGTATCTCGAAGTACTAGACAAGTATAAAACATCATTTGAAATATCATAATCAGATACACTAATAGTAATACAGTTTAACAGTATAAAAGTGTAGATGATATTTCTACATTTCTGTGATGAAGAGGTATGTGTTTTATTATTAGAACACTTGTGGTTGAGACTACTTAGTGTCAAAATCGGTGCTTATAAAATGTTTAATCACACTAAAAATGTATATGTACGATTACTTAGCGTATCTGTGTAAGAGCAATGAGCAAATAACGCAGTTATTTCACTGACCATCGTCGACCATATATATGTAGAATGAAACGAAAATTGTCACCTCCCTACATAGGTTAAAGTATAGCGATGTAATTATATGACCGGATAAGTAGGAAATAACTAGTTACCAACAAAATATCTAGCATCATACAACCCTTACATCCAACTAGTTACTTCGAAAATCACAGAATTCATCTTGTAGAAATATGTGAGTCAGACCAGGTATCATTACTTAACAGTAACGATTACTAGTTTATAAATAGTGTTGTGACAGTTAAATACTTATATTAAACAACTTACTTTCGAAACTACTTGCATTTTCTCGAGAATGACCAGCCACCTGGAAGGCATATGATTCCGTACATGTAGGTAGAGGGGGAACATCACCAAACACCATAGATGTATTTGATAAACAAACAGGTGGTTCTTTTAAAATGCTACAAAGGTATTTAATAGCATGGAGTTTATTTGATTGAATTTCGGAAGACTTTAGCAAAACAGTTACATAGTAATTTTTACAAATATACACAGGTATTATGGAACATAAGTTGTGGTATATTCTAACTCGTTTGGTATTAGTGTGATGATACTGCCTGATAGTACAATTACTACTGAAAAACACTGCTAGTTCACTAGTTCTGGTTCATCTCTTGAGTTAACCAACTTTCTCAAGATTTTCTTGAAAGGATAACTTAAGTTTAACAAATACAGGAAACATTTGAAAACGCAGTTAATTCAGTCAGGGTGAATGAGACAGAATACTAAATATATGATCGAAGAATCGGTCTGATTCGTTACCAACCAGCAAAATAAAATTCTAGAAAGTATAAAGGAAGTGTTCGAATTTCTCCACATGTGGTTCACAGGTTGTCCTGTACACGTCGATGTTGATTGGTCCTTGTTGACCTTAAACCTGTCATTGTTTACTTCTTTGCTTCGGTTGTATCTCCCATTGGTTCGATTTTTGTTTTCCACGAAAATCTAGAAAGTATCTCCAGAAGTTTGACTTTAGAAATAGTATTATCAGTTTTCGAGATGTGAACTTTAAGCTATTGCAAAAGAGTATATACTTCATTACAACACATGGCATATTTTACATACAACTATTCAGTCATATACAACGTAGGATCTAGTACAAATATACAAAGAACCAAATTTCCACACCCCTTCAGTATTAAGGAATGAAATTAGACGGATGGATACTATAGTAGTAGAATTAGTAACAGTGAAAAAATAAATAAAAGGACTATTCGAAATAGGGAATATAATTTCAGGCGTAAATTTTCAGGATGAAAAATATGGAATAATATTAAGGCTCAGAAACTAAGGGTAACGAAAGAACAGACGTATCTGCTCCTCTGAGACTAATTTTGTGCTGTGGTTCGTCTGAGATTAGACTGTCCATCTGTTAGCACAGCCAGTCGGTGACTAATGCCACACCTAGATTTGTCCACTACTAGCTTCCTTTAAACCCACTTCTACACCAGTAAGCATTTGGATAAGATAGACAGTGGCCGAGTGTATGTAATACATGAAATGAACTTGCCCAGCTACTGATTAAATCACTTAAATAAATAGACTCATTGAAAACCTATTAATTTTTATCGTGTTTGACTGGGATTATATTTAATCATTCAATAGATTAGACATGTAAAGCATAGCTTTAATACAAGTATCCAATTTTTTGTCTTCGATGCACAAATTTTAACTTTTTTATTTCATGTATTGTGAATTTCTAAATGAACTTTAAACTTAGTTATGCAAACAATATCACATTAAATTACTTGGAAGAAAGACGTAAATATTTTTAAGGGAGTCACAAAGAAAATACTGAAACGTGGGCTATTTTAAAGGGACAGTAACACTTTAGCCACTAAATAAACCTATTGATCCTAACTGTTCTAGCACATCAAACACAACTGTTTTTGCTTTATTTGAATTTCACTTAATCAAGGTATCATACAGAGTGACAATGGTTTCCACTTTGTTTTTGTGAATACTTCTATTATGGGTAAAATCAATTTTGAAGATGACTCATACTAAAAAAAGGTATCTGTCAAAGTTCAGGTTATCGTTACGCACTTGAGAATGGTGTGCAGCGTGATGATGAATATAAAGACTGGTATTACGAAGTGTAAAAAAATTCCGTATCAGCTGGATGTAGAAGGAGAAGTAAAACTAAGCAAGTATGGCTTTGTGCAGTGTGAATTGGACGAATATTATCTTACATCGGACTTTGCTTTGCTCCCAAATATTACTAAAACGTTAACTTCGAGAAAACTCGGAAGATTTAAACATTAAGAGGTGTAACGAGGTAAGTCATGTCAAAACATGAATCGATACACCACGAGTCTGTCCCAAGTTTTCATGCGCGGTATTAATGCTACGTAGATTGAGATTACATATGTCTTAAGTCGAACATGTAAGCAATGGTTAAGGATAGAGGTGAATGCAACTCTAAAAAGAATATTCGATGAATAAAGCAAGTGAAGTACAGATGAGAAAGATGGTATATGTAAAAACCAAAGGTTTCACACAAGACAAATGGGACAACATATTGCCTTAAAAGACGAAGAGAGGAGACATATGTTAACTTGTGCCGTTACAACCCAAGCTCCCAATTTTGGGGAGCTTTGTGGAAATTTTGGGGAACGTCTTCAAGGTCAGGGGAAATTTTGGGGTTTTTGTGCCATTTCCCCAGAATTTCCCAGAAATATCCCCAAAATAGGTAAAATTTTCCCCAAAATTGGTAGCTCGGGAATTTTTCTGGTTGTTGACATTCTCCACGTACTTTTAGTAGCGAGAATTTTAGAAGCATTTCGAAGTGAAATGGAGTTCGATGGAAGGAAATGTGCACCCTGAGTTCTATATTTCTACAACTTTCAAGTTATCTATTAAGGCCGCCTATAACCTCATAAAATGTGAAAACTAGCTCTTCGTCAAAATAATAATGATGAGTCCTGTGGACTTGCGAATTGCCTTGCCACGTAACGAATACTCCTAATCATCCCGAGCTCCCAATTTTGGTAAAAATTTGACCGATTTTGGGGAAGCCGCTATAGTAAACTTTGGGGAATGGCACAAAAACCACGAAATTTCCCCAGACCTGGGGAAATTCCCCAATATTTATCCAAAATTCCCCTTCAACCTCGGTCAAGGTCATTTGACTCTGGGAATTTTCACCGAATTTCCCCAAACATTGGTGAAGGTCATTTGACTTCGAGTTTCCCCAAAATACCCCAAACTTTCCCAAAGTTGGTAGCTCGGGATGATTAAGAATAGAGGGAAAGAAGGATATATATAGCCAATCATGCTAAAATTTATGTGCTCAAATAACCAATATTTTGAAGAACGAATGAAAACTAAATTTAAAAAATACTGAGAATATGCACACCTTACCATGGCCAAACTTCAGAGTCTGGCCATCATTAGGCCGAACATATGAGTAGCGCACCATTTTGAAGATCCACTTTTTGGTGCCAATCTTGAAAGTCAATTGAGTATGAACTGCTAATTATTGGTAATTTAGGATCTGTGTTTGAATTAAAGACGATTCTTAAATAAGAAAAAAATATATTTATAACGATCTGTTGGGGAAAATGAATTATAAGTAAGTGTTGGCGTTGAATACCTAAAAGTGCTTGGTCTACGTATCAATGCACCTCAGGTAAGTGTCAAGGACAAAATAAGTGAAATTATAGGAATCTCAAAATACTATCTCTTTTAGGGTTGCATTCCTTAGCTTGAAGATTCATGCCAGTAAGAAGTCCTTACGTAATTTTGATGGACACTGGTTTAGTTTATCCACTAAAGCGATTATCTCTTAGTTGTTGTGTGGCACTAAAATGTGGAAGTGATCTTTTGAAATGCAGAGGATTATGAGCTATGTGGAACATCTGGATTAGTTTCTTTCCACTCTTTCGTACTGCGTGCTTTGCAAAGGCGATTGCATGGTATTCAACAACCTTCACGATACCATACTGGTAATCACCGTGCCCTCAGTAATAAATAGCTCCGATTGGAAACTCCCTGAGTTCTATCAAAACACATGACTAATGAAGTACAATCAGTTTGGATGTCAGGAAGGTACTCCTTGAAAACCATGGAAGATGGTCGCTCAATATTGTGAATTGATTGGAACTACACTTGCACATGATTAAATTCGGGTTCAGTGGCCCAGAGCTCGAGTTTTCGTTAGGCAGACCGCGCTAAAAATTTACAGAAATCTATTTTATCTCTGACGAAACAGCTATTCAGTTCCTTATATTTCTAGATTGTTGTTTGGTTAATATGACTTTATAGTCTCAATAATAATCAATAATCTCCACGACAATAAACAGATTTTTAGAATGATACTGATGATTTGACTTTTCCAACAGACTAGTAATTAATTCTACCATTGTGCTTACAATCGAAGGAAGTGTGTGAATGCTTTCCAAATCACTCATTAACAATAACTTGATTCGAAGTTCGTTGGAGTATTTCTGGTTAAATAGTTTGTGTAGATTGTGAACACAGACTTATTTTGCAAATGATTTTTGGCATTACACACACTATATAACAACAATTAATTTGGACAATCACTTTTGTTGACTACACAATTGTTGTTCAATTTCAACTTTGAATTTTTCGTTATCCTTTTAATTCCACTCGCAAGACACAGTGATTGTTATTCACAAATAAGATGCTACTTTTGCACACCATGTTATCATGGAATAAGCTGTCACATTGATAGACTACCAAAATAACTACTGTATACAATTACAGATCATTTGTTTCCTAATTGCTAGATTCCATCTGACATATTCTTCGGGATTATATGCCATGTGTGGGGTTATTTGTCACTCATAATAATTTTGGATCGGGCATACAAATAGAATTCGCTACACCTAGCAATAAAAGCAGTGCCCAGATTTTTCATGCACACATGTATCCTGACGCATTATCAATTTACTTTACACTTCGTCCACCAAGTTTGTCACTACTTTGATATTTATCTAATCTTGATATGTCATATATTCCGTCTGTGACATATTACAGAAATAGCAATACAAATGGACAAAACACATCAGTGAAGTCGGCAACAAAACCGTCTAGCTGAAAACATTCATTAGATGGTGGACCTGTAATTTTGAGAGAACTGGACTAGACACACATGACATTGATCACCACCCAGTGATCAATCAGTTATGAAAATATTTGTTCCTAGTTAACCGGAGTTTTGAGAAAATGCTGATGTCATTGGTGGTTTGGTTTTTGAAAGCAACAAAAGGAAGCTGTTACACTCACTGAAGAATTTTCATTACAAAAGCAGAGAAGTAGTGAATCTGAATGGAATTTGAGGGAGGTGAAGATTTCAAAAATTAATATCTCACAGCTTGTCAAGATTAACTTCGCTGACATATCAATCCTTTTTCATAAGTTGAGAGAATGTTCCGAAAAGGAATCAAAAGCTATGGTTGAGCACGACCTCAGTCATTTTAATTCCTTAATAAGCAAGCTACTTTAGCAATGTCTTCATGATACAGTATATATAAGTATTATAGGATAAGACGAAAGGTAGATTCTGAAAGCACTCAGAAAAGCGGCCTCTCAAAGATTACCTTTGCTTCGGCTAAAGAAAGAAGCTTGAGACTGAAAAACGTACAGGATCCGGAGTATACCTTCGTGAGGATCTCAGCCTGATTGACCGTTTTAAGAAAAAATCGGCAGTAGAAATAAATTAGCTCCACCGAAACGGTGAAAGAAACCCCGTACTTAGAGGTTTTCAAGTTTTAAAAGTTCGAAGCAAAACGATTCTCAAACCACTCTGGGTGGTAGGGGAAAGGTGTGTTACACAAATGCTCGCAGCCTAATAAATAAAACGGCGGAGCTCAAGACAATGGTGGATATTTAATAACTGAATGTTACTGTTGTCTCAGAAACATGGTCAATGTCATAACTGTTGGATAATGAAATCCAGTTGACTGTTTTTTTATTCAGTATCGCTGGTAGACTAAACCGTAGGGGAGATGGGGTTATCAATAACACAAAAGTACCTTAACCATACGAGCAGTGGAGACAGTCCACATGATTTAGGAACATGTGAATTGTGCGTTGCAGGCTGAAATGTATGCGGCAAGACATCGAATTAGCTGTAATATACCGCAGTCCAGAATGTGAAGTAGATGACTTACTCCTAAGCAAACTTAAGTTCTGGTGTAATAGGGGTAGAAGCTCTGTAAAGGGCAACTTCAATGCACTGTATACAAATTGAGCAACTTGGAAGTAGGGTCATCGACAACGCCATTGCAAACTGTTGAAAATCCAAATTGCACTAGCTTTACTCCAACACATTAGAGATCTCACTAGATATTTTTACGAAACTCGTCGTTTTTCTTGGACTTAATCTTCATACAAAATGATGATGTCGGTCAAATGACTTTTCCCATACCTCTAGGGAAAAGTGATCATGCAGTCATTTTATTCAAGTTCATGGCTGAGATGACCTGTCAAACGGTTGAGCCGGCCCGTCCTAACATATGGAAGACAGACATGGAGGCAATAAACTCTGCAGCATCGGCTGGAAACCCGATAACTAGTTCAGCAACAACAGTAGAAGAGTCGTGGACTCATTTCAGGGAGTTATACAATCAGGTGACTTAACCACATATGCCTTGGACAGTCCCAAAGAAGAAAAAGAAGCACGACTTTCCCTGGATAGGCTGACATATTCGACGTTTACTAAGATAAAAGGAGAGATGTTGGAACATTGCCATCAGCCTCGGCACAGCAAGTACTATGAAACGCTACAGGTCGGTAAGAAATAAGTGCATAATCAAAATCCAGGAAGCTCAGATAAAATATGAAATGCACTTAGCATAAGCTGCACTCAAGCAACCTAAGAGACTATTCTCGTACATGAATTACAGAACAAGAATTTGCATCCTAATTACAGAACGGAGCGGATCTGATATGATAGAGGATGATAAGAAAGAGCAGAGGTTATTGCAAGCTGTTTCGGGCAGTTTTTACTGAAGGACCTTTTCTCGAAATAGAACTAAACCCGAATACAAAGTCAATAAACGGTCTGCTCACCGTGTACTTTGATCGAGACAATGTACCTAAGGCTCTTAGCACCTTAGACATGGAAAAATCAATAGCACCGGAGGAACTACATTCACAATATATTGCAACCCACTAACTGCGATATACAATATGTCACCTGACCAAGATGTGTTACCTATGGATTGGAAGGAAAAAATCGTCACCCCAATACGTGAAACAGGACAAAGACAACTTCCATGGAGCTACACACCTGTCAGCTTCACCAATGTCGTAATTAAAAGAGTGGAAAGAACAGTCAAAAAGACTATAATCACACTTGTAGAGACCAATAACCTGTTAAACAGCGAACAATATGGTCTCAGAAATGTTTTATCTTGTACAACAGACCTCCTTATAGCATAAATGCAATAGATAAAGGCTCTAGACAATAAAAAAATCAGTGGATGTAGTCTCCATCGTTTTCAGCAAAACATTTGACAAAGTGACAACAAATAGACTTCTCTTGAAGCTAGAAAGTCTTAACATTGCATGGCCTTCTTGAAAATGACTTAAAGATTTCCTAGTAGGTCGCAGACAGAAAGTAAGAGCAAATTTAAAGTTCGCCTTCTAGAGACCGTGTAACAGAAAACAAATCCCCAAAATAAATAGCTCTGTAGGTTTTCGACATTGGATGCTGATCACAGTTTTAATGGACTCATCTAGCTGAAGGCGCTCGGTCAAACATCCGCACCAGATCACGTGTGGGAACGCCGTGCTTAACATCTACCTAAATCGCTAGCCAGATTAGTTCAGACGATCCTCGATATATTGATAGCTTATCAAATGTATCTTCGAACCTCCTCGCTTCTGTCTTTTGATTTCAATTGGTGGGTACGCTTCATATTAGAAGGTGTTACTGGTTAAGGCGTTGTCAAACTCTGAATACTTGTGACATCTTCAACCTGTATTTTATGGTGTTCCTAAATGTTTCGTCTTAGAGTATTTAGTTTTTATAGTGTATATGAATGATCTCCCAAGTATGGTTGAGTCCCCAGTGTTATTATACGCTGATGATGTAAAAATCTGGCTAAACTTTAAACACATTTAAATATTGTGATTAACTGGTTTAAAAAGTGGCTGATGCCTATCATCGCTGCAAAGTGTGACTATATGTACCTCAGAGATATAAGAATAAATACGTACAGCATAGAAGAAGTGCCTGTTCTCGTGGTCTGGTCTTACAAAGATCTTGAGGTAACGGTGAGTCATGATCTTAAGACCACGGCACATTGCTGGGAGGTTGCAGGTAGGAGGCTACCAACCTTATGAGCTTTAAGACGGATATAAACCAAGTTAGATACGGCCATTTTTACTACAATATACACAACCTTAGTGAGAACTAAGCTCGAGAACTGCCTTCAGGCTGCAAGCCCGTTTAAATGTTAACTCAAATATCCTAGGAAACGTAATAGGAAATTGAAATGCTTTAGTGTCAAATAAATAGCTAGTAATTTACGTCCAAAGGTGCTATAACGTTCCTTTGCTGGTGACGTTTAGAAAAAAATGTTATAGGTGTAATGGTGTCGTTCGCCGGTTGTTTCAGAGTTTAAATGTTGTAATATAGTAATGTTTGTCATCATAGACTTTGTGTTAACAAAAGTAGCTTTTGCATTAAGTGATGAATCGAAAGATTCGTCTTTTTTTCGACTGTTTTTTCTATCCAGCCTCAGAAGGTTGTAGCGTTGCTGCACAAGTAGTTGAGAAACGACGATAGAAATTACACATACCATGAAATCGACGCAGAGATTTTAATTAATCTAGTTCTGGATAATCAGTCATAGCTTCGACCTTTTACCGGAGTGGTTTGATATCTAGTGAGTCTGTTTGGTGTCCCAGAGACTCCAAAGCTGAAACTTTGAGTATGCACTTTGAAGGGTAATCACAACACCATAGTTTTTGAAGCGATTGAAGAGAATGTGTAAATACTGCACATTTTCTTCAGTAGATGAGCTGGCGGTCAAAACGTCGTCGATATAAACAAATACAAAGTCCAAGCCCCTTATGATCTCATCCATGGATCGTTGAAATGTTTGAGCGGCATGTTTTAGTCTGAATGGCATCCTCAATAATTCAAACAAACCAAAGGGTGTGATAATAATTGTTTTTTCAATATCCTCTCGTGCCACCGAAACTTGATAATGGGATCTTATGAGGCTCAGTGTAAAAAAAACCTGTTTCCCATGTAAGTCCAAAGAAAAATCATGTAAATGAGGAATGGGGTACTTGTCTGTGGCAGTTCGGTTATTTGGACGACGACAATCTCCACATGGACGCCAGCGTTGGTTCTCCTTGGGGACCATATGTAAAGGCGAAGTCCATGAACTTCTAGATTGCCGTATGATACCGAGTTGCATCATGTGTTTGAATTCCCTCTGCAATTTTTAACTTGTCTGGAAGTAGTCTGCGTGAATTAGCATAGACTGATGGACCAAAGGTGGTTATATAATGTCAAGCATGGTGTAGAGTACGTGGTATAAGTAGCACACACCACAATATCAACCAGTGACCGTCGGCCGTTTCGTTTCTCTGTTGCAGATTCCCGGATTTACACAGCAAAAACAGTATTCAGCTGGTTTGTCAAATTTTCTATGATTTCAAAAAATGTTTGAATGACTGGTATCAGCGAGACATCAAATTTTCTACTTCTAGACTCGACGAGTGAATATTTCATACACAGACGATTAAGTTGACTGACAAGCATATTTAAAGTTTATTAAAGGTCATAAAGCCACCCTGCTGATGTTATATATAATTGAGATACTGAATACACATTGATATTTGATTAGCGATATCCACAAGCCCATGTATGTCGACATCTTCATCACTGAAGCCTATTATTTTTTGACAGACTTCTAAAGCTATAACTGATAAATTCAAAATCTTTTAGCTTAGTGATTGTTAATATACAAGTCGCGTTTCACTTAAGTTGAAATAGCTTGTTGTTACTTAATTGCATATTGACTTATGTTCATTCATTTCACCATTGATCCCATAAAAGATGATAGCGAGACTATAATTTATGAACGAACCAATCAGATATAAGATAACGATTCACAAATTTCGGCGTGAATTTCATCCATACATTTGGCTAAATAGAGTTTTGGCATCTAGTTTTTAGCCCTAACCATCAACCGTAAATGAGAATTCTAACTGCTTTATAACCCTCATTTAATACTTATCAGTAGGTGTCCTCTCTCAAGTCCACTTCAGCGTCGCTCAAAGGTCGTCCATAAATTATAGTCTCATTGTCTTTACCGCTTTTCCATCCGATAACACTGAGTTCTCATAGATGGATTCGGCCATCTGGTTTGCGGTTTTATATAACGAAAAATCTCTCTAAGAGTTAGAACTATGACCTTGGATCATAAGCTTTGGAAGGAGGTAAAGGAAAAGAAAGAGTACATACAGGACTCGAATTATGAAAAATAAGGTATCAAGACTCATTTAGATATGATTAAGACAATAAATATAGTGCTTATCATACTTTAAATATCATTGGAATGATCTGGATATAAATGAATACTTACCGAATTAGAGTGTTCAGTATTAGTCTATATAAAGGAATACAACAAAACTTTAATATATGATAATATATATCTATGTATATATAGGAAACAATAGACAAATCAAGGCACTTTATAAATTAATGCCAACAATAAGGTAAAGTACATTACCAAATATAATAAGTTAAAAGTGCAAATTGATGGTAGGATAACAGAAGTACTATTGGTGATAACAACAATAAAATCTTGGGTCAATAGGACCTACTCCTTATGTAACATGAGGTTTTATCATTCTGATTATTACTAGTACTATCAACCTATACTTTGTATTCACTATTATTTAATTATGTAATTTACCTCGTTGTTTGTGGTGAGTAATAAACTGTTTTGATTGGTTTGTTGTTCCTCATATTTCTATATAAATATTACTGAGTATTAGAGTAGCGGCTGATAAAATTGTTGTCAGGTACTAAATAATCAGTAACATAAATTTATTTGAATCTTCCCATTGATGTTTAGGACTGCAATTGATTAGTCTCTTATTGGACTCAATAACTAAGTGGATAACGCGATGACGTTTGAAGCGAACGATACTGGGTTCGAGTCCCAGGGTGAATATCAATTCTAAAATGCAGGTACATCCAGCTGACGAGTCCTAAATAGGATGAACTGCACTTCCTGGATCCCACTGCTTGTCACTATTCATCGATTGCATATAATGCTTAGGAAGTAGTCAGCAACATATTTTTGGCTTAAATGATTATTTTCTAAATCACTTTCATTATGATTGTTAAATTATTATTGTTCATAATTAAGAAAAATAATCCACAAATAATTCTCCTTTATATGCATCTTCAACCAATAATGAGGAATAAATTTATTTTGAAAAATATTAACTTTGCTCTAATGATAGCTGACATTGAGCATACAGGTAACGAATGAAACAGTTTACACTATTGGAGATTAAATGAGAACATTAGTGTTAGGACCGATAAGTACTCTAGACTGGTCGTACGGCTTTTATGCGTCATTGGTTCGATCGATAATTCACTGCTCTCTATTTGGCGGTATCATTACGTTATGCATTAACAGGGCACACAGGTAACAAGTTATAAAAATTAGAGAACACTCACCTGCAAGCTAATTGTCTTTTATTTCATACAACAACAACTGCCTCAACTATTCAAACACAACTCGTCAAATACCACAAATAACTCAAATCATTCTAATACATTTTCAATCAATCAACTACCACACACACATTCGCTGTTATATCAGAAGAAGATTAAATTATGGGTATATTTCGGGAACTAGTTATAGACTGTTATTATATGTATTATATCATAAGGTTTCAATCGATCTGTTGGCTATTATCATACAATTCACTATTCTTAATTTAATCCCAATTCATTAGTTACAGTCTCTCACACTCACAGCCACATTTTGACTTGATCTTGTATAATTGTTATTATTTATTTTATGGCGTGTTGTGGTCTAGTTTGCTTGTGTATAAACTACATGTATCCGAAATACATTATTCATACAGTGGAGGATGAGGTTGTGTTCTAGACTCAAACTGATAATGCTAGGCGAGAAGAACGAATAAGGACTCATGGTTAACTCAAGGCCTCTAGTGTTGGTTAATGAGTCATTAGATTGGCACATGGCCAAGGTCGTATAAGTCGGTGTTCTAACTGGCGATCTTGTCACATGATAACTGATGGGGGCATAAGTCATAACATTCTCAAAATCTAATTCGAACAAACTAACACCAACAACTAACAACCCACACACAACCATCTCACGATACAGACACTAGCCAATAACTCGATCTCCATCGACACAAAACACTCACTTACCGATCAGTTGTTCATAGGGGCAGGTCAGTGCGATCCAGCTAAATGCTAGTCACATGTCTGAAACTTATTTTTGTTCGGCTATAAATATCGACTAACGCTTGGTTAAATCAAGTTGGCCTACGTGCCTTCTCTACTGTGTGCTAGTTTGTTTCGCTTCGCTTTCTCTTCTTTGCTTTCTTCACTACGTCTCTGATTGTCTGTTCTGATCAACGATTGTACAAAATATAGGTATTCGAAATCCATTCTCGTATTCGACTTTCTTAATTCCGTTATACACTAATCTAAGTTAAATCAATGATTATGTACGAGGATTGATGATGTATATATTTCAATAGCGATCAACATACGATCTAATTGTAGTTAGATATCTGACCACTAAAACCTAATCTGAATAAAATAATACAAGGAGTTGAATAAGAAACCTTTACTAGTTGATCATTAATTGGCAAACACTTCAACAAATATAAACAATATTTAACAATATCAAATAGATGTATGTATACATATTGAAAATAAAATAAAAATCATTAAGCATAGGGATAAATCTAAAACGTCAAAATGCAGAAATCGTTTGTTTCTACGGGAAATACACACCAACGTAGTAAACAGTAAATAAGAATAATCATAACAGACAAACATAACTATAGTGCGATTCAAAGACACAGAGAGGAGGAAGAGGATTAATGAGTATATCATAGTTTCCAATCATAAACGAGTACACATAACGCTGATGAGTGCATATATATGTGTAGATGTAGATTAATTTCAGAAAGTTAAAAAATATCAATCTGTATATAATAGTAATGATGATAAAGTTAATCAATTCTGTTTTATTTCAGTTGAATTTTCTGTATTAACCACACGTTGCATTAACGCGATCAATGTTTCCAATCCATGCCGAAAACCGTCAGTTAGTTCACAACTCCAACAATCCTTACTACAACCACCACTATCATTGATATCAGTAGATGATTTAGCTTTCCAACGCACAAAATCAATTAAATAAACCTCTGTATGTGCAGTATTATGATCACTACTGTCACTGCTATTGTTACTAACATTGTTTCCATTCGAAGACACAGTAATATCGGAGTTGGTAGTATCATTTGAACTACTGACTGACTGATTGTCCTCTGTTGTTGTGGTGGATGATGATATAGGAGATGATGCAGAACACGTTTCAGAAAGACAGTGGTTATTATTACTGTTATCATTTGTCAATGATTCATGAATCAATAAAAGTGAGGAACGACAGAATGTGAGCTCTTTTGCACCATATTCCACATACCAATTTAAAATACGTTCAAGTTGTATGATATAATTTTGAGCAAGTTTAACACTATAGGTAGGATCTGCACCTAGAAATGGTTTTACACCTGTGAAATACAGAAAAATAATTACCTGATGTGATACATGAGAAATGTAAATCATACGTAAGCAGCTTCAAATTCTAACAAACAGGTTGAAATTTAGAATCCAGAATAAATTACGTCAATAGCCAAGAAATGCTACAAATCAGTCATCACAATGTATTACAATGTCGAATATGATTAAGCTAAGTATAGATGTGAATATTTACACATTATATGATTGTTCGTATGCAACAAGTCAAATATCTCCACCAACGACACCGTGAAAACTATACATCACAGTTTTGTTATCACTGTTCTAATATTCCGTTCACAACACGTGCACATGATTTCGTGGTATTTGTGCAAACGAATGATTCCTCTGTAAGTGAGTCCCCACTTATTGCGAATTCCAATTCTACTTGTCTTAAATGGCAGTATTTAGGAAATTCCTAGTTAGTACATTAATCCTAATAATTCTAATTATCATAGATTTTCACTGAGGTCAAAATGTTTAATAAACATTTTCTACTTAGTAAACTATTCTTTACTTAACAAGCTGATGTACTATTAATTAATATTCAGTTAATCACCATTGAATGGTGTTTAGGGACTGAATAATGTTTACCATTCGAAATTGATAGTCTCTGAATAAAAATTGGATTTTGAAGTGTGGGTAGTATGATTGAGTCGGAAGTGAAAACTCAACTAACTATTTCATTAAGCTTCATCTATATAACCATTCCGTTCAAACAACACAGTGTATTTACGACATATATAATAGTTGAAGAAGTTCAAAGATGTTCAGGAAGCATTGGAGAGATGTTTGATGCTAATTTATTTATCCTCACTGAGGCGCACACAAAACCTCACTACTGATCGGACACAAGGGCTCCACGTCCACAATGAACACCAAACCATCCGAATCACTGTGATGGCGTCCACTTTCATTGGATGAATATACACTCATCACTATGAAACAACCAATCCACTTCAAACTATTGTGAAAGCACTTTACTACTGAATGTTCACATCAAATGTGAACTTAAAGGTCAAACTCATTTGATAAACAATTACCATGATGGATGTGATATCTCAATTACTAAACGTCACTCTTAACAAATATCATCAATGAATTTACGAATTACATTTCGAATGTCAATTATCCATAACATATGATCGTTCACATGCATTACTCTTGTGTAGTAAACAGTCAAATCTTCATCGTACCACGCATTTCGAGTCATCAATGTAACAATATTATTAGTGTAAAGTGTTTTATAGAGATCATTGAGTTTCACGATTCATTTGACGAACTGACGTTAGTTAGACAAACATCAAACACCAACAATAGTCACCCCCTAACTACTGACTACTGTTGAAAGGTGACTACCACAATTCTGATTGAAAACCGTCACCAGTGAATCGCAATCACATCACGTATGAATCAGTCACCTACAATCAACATTTCAACATGTTTGAATAATGTCACAGATCGTGCAATTTCGGCTCAATTTTTGAGCACTGACCACAACTGAATCTCTTGTGTTATATCCCCAGTGTTGAGGTCGTGTATGTTCATTGTTCACTAGTTCGATGTCGGAATGAAACAGATATCCAATGCTTTCTCATTTTCAACTGTTGTCCAAACATTGTCAGTTCGTGATGTAGGTTTCAATTGTGTGCATTTATTGTGGATTTACCTACTTACGATACTGTAGATGAAGAGAATCTTCTATGTATGTGTGTGTGTGAGAGAGAGGGATATTGAGAGTTAGGGTGGGATAAGTTATGGCAGTATCATATTCATTATTGCTATTCTTCTATTATTCTTCTTATGTGTTTCCACAATTTGCAATATGACTCTCATTGTTTGTGTAATAAGTTTGCCTAGTGTTCAGTCACATCTCTCTTCTACTGACTATTTCAAATGAATAGAAAGAGACAGAGAGAGAATGAAGGTACAGATTGGTAAACAGTAAGCTAGTATCATAAAGTACACAATATCATAACTAACAAAGTGAATAAACTTGTTCTGGAGTTAAAGTGCGTCCAAACGCTTTATTCAACTTGATTAAACAGTGATTCACTGAATCGGAAATCTGTAAAATAATAGAATAGGAAAATAGAAGAAAGTGATTCATACTGACGATTCTTGTATTCTAGATGGAACTATAAATATTTTAATATGATAAATGAGAAGTTTATCACAGTTTATTTTTGTATACAATGGTTCAGTTGATGACAACGTGGTTTCAGTGAAACAGTATTTGTAAAGATGCAAATCGTTCACGAATGTGATCGTTGAACACTCGATGAACAGTCGTGAATACAAGTCACTGATCTGTTTGAAATGTATAACCGATAATGAATTTCACTTTGAATCTGTATTTTTCAGAGGTTGTTACTATCATGCACAGTACACCTAACACTTGTATACGGAAAGAAATTATAGTAAATCATCCATCATCCATTCCTTTATATATATGTATGCATCTTAGAATTTAACAAAGATTGGACAATTAATTACTAAACTATTATTTCGTCATAGGAGTTAAATTTCGTGGCTAAGTATTTTGAAGTCGCGATACATGCATGTTTAAGCCCCCAAATGCTTTGGCATGGACGATGGTGGGGAGAGTCATCTATCCCTCTTGAAATCCGCGTATACAGCCACCACTAGGAAAGTCCTACTGTAGTGAACAGGAGCACGAGTGGGGACAATCGAAGGTATTTGACACGAAATTACAAAGCACCTCACTAAAATCTGAGAACCATATAGTAAATAGTTAGTTAGTAGAATATCAATCCATCGTCTCAAACACCACTGTTCCCTTTTGCAAATATCAGTCAATTGTCTCAGATCTCATTGTTCATGCATTTTCATATCTATTGCGTTCCGTTTCTGTATTTTCCTTATCGATCTTCTGCTGAAATACATTCTATGCCAGATCACATTTATATACTACTTATATGAATATAAGTAGCCCACACCATACTACTCACTGTCTTCTCGTGGCGAGGGTGTTGTTTACGAAATTGAGAGGATGAAAAGTCAATGTTCGGCACATTAACCGGGTTGATAAATATGGAGGATCCACCCAGGAGAATTGAAAAACCCTGATTTCAAACTAATGGTGAACATGGGCTCCAGGATTCTGAAGGAACAAATGGTGTATGAACCAATTATTGGTCACCAGCTACCATGAGACTGAATCTCATGACGTTGTTCTACTGCCTTGTAGATCAAACCTACAGGTCGAAGGCTCCGAGCGTGGCCCTTGAAGAAAACCACCTGCTTTGGTAGGCAATATCACAGCCCACACACAAACCAAGTGACTTGTGTGGCTCATATGTATTCGCTGACTCTTTGTACAAATATTTATGTGTTCAAGTAAATAAACTAAATAAATAAGTCAATAGTTGTTCAGAGAGTTAAACTGCGCTTGTTTGGAATATGATAGTCCTTTATTAGCAACCAAACGAAACTCATTGACCAAGTACATGTTTATGAACTGGTTATTGATCCATACTTCATAATGTATAATGATGGGATGTTACTCCGTTGGCTCATATTGAATTTAATCAACTAGAGTTTGAAGACATTTCTTGATAGAAATTAATATGTTGTAGAAATTTTTCAAAAAAAACCGAGGACAAGGAACAGATAAATAAACCTAGTTTATTAGTGTTTTATGTTGAGGAAATTACTAAGGAGCTGTTAAGCCTAAACAGAATGTGATTAAAATATCCGATTATCTAAAAGCAGTAAGTAACCGTATTCAAGTATACTCTTTTTATGATTGTAATGGTTTTATAAGGATTCACTCATAGTATAGTTCACCACATAAATTACAACAATCCGGTTTAACTCGTATCCAATTAAGAATGATTTTTAGCACCCACACTTTAAAACTTAAATCAATGTGAATGGTAGATAATTTAGCTTTAATTAAGCTAATTCATTCTTTCTTGAAATATGCTGTGGTGTGTGCTACTTATGTCAACATAAGTAGTATATGACATTACTCGTGAATAGAATGTCTGCTAGCAGAGAGACAAGAGGATCGAACAGTAAAGAATGAGAACAGAATGCAACTTGTATAAAAATGCAGGAACAATGAAGTCTGAGTTATTTTGAGACAATTGATGGACATTTTGCAAATTAGGTATTTACTATATGATTGGTTAGATTTTATTAACAAGCCCGTGTTTTTTTTACCACAATATTACCTATGCTTAGTGTTTCTACTACCACTGATAGTGTTAGTGATTGCACTACTTTGGGATTGGTCTTCATAATCGATTTCATTTGACTGACTGATCAGGCTTACTATTTTAACTAAACAACCATAAATTTTGATAACGATCATGTTTCTCTCACTATTTAATAGCTGTAAATCAAGATAAAATATCCAATTAGTGATTATGTAACAATTTTATTGATTAACGTACATCATGATTTGGGACATTCCGGGTACTTTCAAATAGTAATCGAATTTTCATACGTAAAAACCCATCGGCAAAGCTTACGTACGAATCAACAATAACAATCGACACTCTGAACACATCAAGTTAAAGAAAAATTATTGAAATTTTGATCTGTCAACTAATCCTAACTTTATGGGACAAATAAAATAATAATCTCTACTTTTTTTTGTTCACAAATGTGAATTCCATTCAAGAAGTCACTGTGATAATATACAATGCTTACCTGAATACCAGCTAACATAATACCCAATTCACGACGCCAGGTATATTGAAATTGATCGGCTGGGATTTCATCTTCCGGGTAATTAATGACTGTGCCCATTTTAAAATCGCATATATTTGGTTGTTTGAAATCGGCCACCAGATCAGATAAAGCCATGTAGTAAGCTGTTACAAGGTATCAATATTATAAGATATTATGAAGTTTAAAAAATCACTCATGAATGGGAAAAGTACTTCAGTAGTGATTACTTACTTACTTACGCCTGTTACTCCTCGTGGAGGGGCATAGGCCACTCACCAGCACTCTTCATTCAACCCTGTCTTTCTAGTTGTTATTCATCCTTTTCATATCCGCTTTTATTTCCCGACGTAATGTGTTCTTTGGCCTTCCTCTTTTCCGCTTCCCTTCAGGATCCAAAGTTAGGGCTTGCCTCGTGATGCAGTTTGATGATTTGCATAATGTATGTCCTATCCATTTCCATCATCTTTTCCCAATTTCCTCTTCCGCTGGAAGCTGGTATGTTCTCTCCCACAATAGGTTGTTGCTGATGATATTCAACCAATGTTGGATGTTGAGTATCTTGCTTAGACAGCTATTGATAAATACTTGTACCTTCTTGATGATGGTTGTAGTAGTTTTCCAAGTTTCAGCTCCATACAGTAGAACCGCCTTGACGTTCATATAGGAGATTATGACTTTGATATTGATTGAAAGTTGTTTTGAGTTCCATATATTCTTCAATTATAGGATGCGGCCATTGCTTTGCCAATCCTCGCATTTACGTTTGCATCTGATCATCCTTGTTCATCAATGATGCTTCCCATGTCGGTAAAGGATTCCACATTTTCCAGAGTTTCCCCATCAACTGTGATTGGGTTGGTGTTCTCCGTGCTGTATTTGAGGACTTTGGTTTTCCTCTTGTGTATGTTGAGGCCTACTGATGCAGAGACTGCTGCTACGCTGGCTGTCTTTATCTGAATTTGTTCGTTTAGTAGTGATTGAACAAAGATAATTTTAGCACTCCATATTTCAGCATCAAAAGCTTTATATCTATATAAAATAACATTTAATCAGTTCTTGGATTATTGACTACGATCAGTGTCGATAATAATCTGTTTGAGATCATTTATAAAGGTTTGATTATTTCTCATGATTAATAAATTCAGGACTCTATTTTCAAGTCTCACTATGAAAACCGGCCATATTGAGGACATGCACATATTCAATTAATGAATCCTAAATGTGACAAAACATACATCATGAACTGGATTGTTAATTACAGTTTAAAAAGTTAAACAGATGTTGAAGAATATATGTTATATCCCAACGAGAACTATGAATGATAACTGTTGGGATCTATTTATGAACTAATATGATACATGTATTTTTATTGTATAATTGTTAAGTAACTAAACCATGCATATTCATGTTCCTCTTATTTTAAGCTTTATTTTGATTTATAAACTATTATTATACGGTTTACCGTTCTTGATTTATGCCCAGTCTATTAATTCTAGTTTTCCACATTCAAAGTCAGTTTTGGCTAGATCTTGTACAAATGTTGTTTTCTATTTTGTGGTGCGATATGGTCTTTTTAGTTTGTATATAAACCTAGTATGTTTGAAATACATGATTCATATCGCGGAGGCTGCGATTAGTATTCTTGACTCTAACAGGCAGGGCTAGGCAGGAAGAAGAACCGATAGGGACTCTAGACTGCACATACGGGTTTACGCGTCATTGTTTCGGTCAGTGAGTTACTATTCTCTAATTGGTAGTATCATTACGTTATATAATAATAGGGCAGAAGGCCACAAGTTATAACAATATGAATATCATTTATGCTAATAGTGACCACTATGACTACAATTCAAACCAGGATAGAACATTTTTCTTCTTGCTTAAACTCAACTACTTCAAAGCATAAATCATACAAGAAAGATTCTTTTGTTAAAGACCCCTCCGGAAGAAATCTAATGATTTTTAATTACTCAACTGGACAATTATCACTTGGATACAAAAAATGATTTAGAATCAATTAACACAAATGAAAAAAACCCATATCAGAAAACTTAATTTTTCCTTTAATTCCTTCTTATTAAGCTATATCTATGAAATTTCATATTTTCAATAATAATAGATGATTAAGGTGATAGTTGGACGGTTTATTGATTGAACTCTTTTGTTGTTATTGAATAAATGAATTCAACAAGATGGATTAGATAGAGTGAAAACATACCATCGTTAAATGTAAGAGAGAATAAGGGTTTCTTCCAGTTGATGGACTTCCATTCATAAGTTTAAGATGAATGTAAATAAAAACTACACCAAAATTGGCATTTGGTTTTGTTTTGAGTGATGTTTGATAATGTCTCGAGACACCAAGTTACATAACCTCTACAATATCAATCGGAGGGTAGTGATGGATTGATGCATCCCAGTCCTATACAACTTTCTTCCATATTATGAATTCATCTATTCAAATAACTGGATCACCTATTTTTCTACCCAATCTTAGAGCAGGCCAACAATACATAATGTGTATAATTTTCTCAAAATATGACCACAACACCAAAGTTTAGATCTCAAGGTAGTGAAGTTGAGTTGTTGTCACTGTACTCGTACACGCGTTGTCGAATCTCACTACCACTAACACACTGTTAGCACTTTGTACAAGAGATCCTTCAGAGAAAACAATGGTCAAATACAGAATGGACATGTACTCCTAACATAGAGCAGAGCTGAAGTTGCCACTGACACTATAAATATGCCTTTTTACAGCATATCGGATTTGTTATATAATCTGGTACATAATATTATGATGATGTGTGAGGTCGAATGTTACTTGGTCGTCATCAAATTTACATGCAAATCACATCCAAGTTAAGCAGTTTTCAATACGTAGTTCATTGATTTAAGTAGACGATATCTAAGCGGGGTGTAACGATCGTCAACATGGATATATTGAAAGTTTTTAAACAGTTAAGCTGTGCCATTAGTTATCCTACAATATATATGGTTCGTAGTTAGCCAGTCAGTCATACACAGAGTAAAACCTAGTACATATGTACATCGCTTCAAGTTGCCACACTCCATTAGAACAACGAGATCAAATTAGTTAAATAAGAAAAAAATAACTCTTTTCATATGGACTAAGCGTTTTTAAGAGGAATTTGATAACCATAAGGATAATCAAAAGACAGGATGAATATTGGCCTTCTGAGTTGGTGAGGAAATAAAAAATATTCTACGTCTTACCATACTTTCCGATGATCGAATCACCATTCAGATGATTGTTGAAGTGAATGATGCAGAGGGCTAATCATCTATCTGAACATTTCTACTGTAACATGAAACAACAGTGAAACTAATTAGCCTGACTTTTAAGGATTTCCATTAGTCACTGCTAGCCACTATCCACCTTTGCTTGAAAAGCTTATGATTTTAAGGTTATATCAAGGCTATCCGCACAGGATGCACATATGCCAACAAGAGACTGATCAATTGCAGTACTGAATAGCAATGGGAAGGTACAAGTAAAACAACACCAAGTGAATTTTAACTTCACCCCATCGCACAAGCAGGTGGCTATCAGGAATCAGTAGCTAAATGGATAACGCATTGACGTTTGAAGTGAACAGTGCTCTGGGATGCAGCTACACCCAGCTGACGAGTCCCAAGTGGGACGAAACACGCGCGTCGGATTCCACTTCTAGCCACTATCCATCTTTGACATGGTTTTCTTCTCACTAAACAAACTACCATTTTTCGAATCTCGAATTTTAAGTTAACGAAAGAGAAAATTATTTCAAATTATATAATGCAAACTGATTTAAGTTAGATAATTATGGAAAACCAAAAAAAGCACTAGACAACTGTTTCGCTCTATTAGTGGGCTTTTAAGAAATGAACATCCACGACTCTGATATTGGAGATTGAAAATAGACCTTCAGTGTCCTGTTAAGCCCTTAACCTGTAGAACAACCACTGAGCTAATGACTTAAATTTATACTTGTGAACAATTAACTACTCTGAGTAACATTTTTTTCTAATGTTGTTGGTAGGTAACTATCTAACATCTGACATGTACTGGGGAAAGAGAGAGGTAATTAAAATCAATATTCAAACAATGACAGAATAAAGGTCAACAATAACCAATGATGATTAAAGTTGACAGGACAAGTTGTCAGTCATATATGAAGAAATTTGAATACTTCACTTCTACCTGAAGTTTATGGCAATGATGTTGTTCGAAAGAACAATGACAATTTCACGATCTAACCATTCGGTTCACAGAATGAAATTCTACAACTGTATCTTTGTTGTCCGGATTTATTGAGTTGTCTGTCGCTCCTGCTTATATATTGTTTTAGTCGAGTGAATTATCGTGATCATGGAAAAGTAGACAGTGGAAGAACTCAATATAGGTATAGATGTGCTATCCGAATTAGATGTAGCAAAGTTTGAACATGAAACAAACAGTATCATTAAAAATATATCATTACCTTTAGTTCCTGGGCATTGAAAAACTCCATAATAAGTTGGAATAAATTGACGAAGACGTTTAAGTGCTTCCGAAGCATCCGCAGAAAACACATTCTGGTAAAACATCACTTCACGCATACCTCTTTCACGATCTTGTAATGACTTATAAATAATTGGTTTAGATTTATCTCGAAGTACTAGACAAATATAAAACATCATTTGAAATATCATAATCAGATAAATTAATTTAAAATTTGATAGTAATACATTTTTACAGTCAGTCAGTCAGCAACACCGTAGAACTTCATACGTACGTACATCAGTCCAAGTTGCCAAACCACATTAGCACAGAGATGCAGTTGTTGATTCAAATCTCATGGTGATAGAGGTAGTAAAAGTATAAGCCGTAATCGGAAACATTAAGCTTTGATGATGTTGTTCAAGGAGTATAATACAGTGAAATAAATTTGGAAAGAGAAAATAAACGGGCATGAAGAATTCAGAAGATTAGAATTTGGGAGAACACAAAGACTGGATGCACTTGCGCCATTGCAAACGATTTTGAACCATGTCATTCAGGGTCTTTAACCATCGGTTTCTATCATCTCGCGGACCCCAATCAGGTAGTCTACACCTACCAACATGGTTCAATCCACTTGTTAGTGAATTCATGGATTTGTGCCATGATTTGGTCTGGCCGCCCCTAGCTTTCTTCCAACCTACACTATCCCACACCATACGACATCGCTCGTCGTGGCAGTCGGTGGTTGGACATACGTGTAACACATATCTCAGCCATATCAATTGATGAAGTATAAAAGTGTCGATGATATTTCCACATTTCTGTAATAAAGTGGTAAGTGTTTTATTATTAAAACACTTGTGTTATAAATGGTTGAAACTATTTAGTGTTGAAATTAGTGCTTATATAATCTTTAATTAGAGTAAATTTGTATGAATATTCGTCAGAATTTGAAAGAATTGTAGGACCCAGTGAAATGGTACTAGGCTATTCACTAATATACCCATTAAACGAGAGTTAAATATTATACAGGAACTTTTTGGGCCGAATACAGATTTAAATTAACGCTACTAGTTGGATCTTCCATACATTAATTAATGTTTAGATTTATGTTTACATTTCATCTTATTCGTTTCTAAAAGAGATCTATATCGATAAGTTGATAGAGTAATTATGGATTCGTCAATTTCACTCATTGTATCAGATTTATTTATTTGTATTGGTTGTTTGAATCTTTCCATTGAAACTGATCAGTTGCAATTCTAAACATCAACGAATAGATTTAAATAGTCAACACAAATGAATTAAACTTCATTCCATTGTACAAAGCATTAGCTAACTTGGTTCAGTAGCGATGACATTCAAAAAGAATAGTGCTGAATGTGAGTTCTGCAGGAAACATGAATTTGAGGATGCAGATACATCCAACTGATGAATCCCAAACAAGACAAAACGCGTGTTCTAAATTTCACTGCTAGTCACTATACATCTCTATCTATTTATTCATCTTTTAAAATTAATATAATCATGAAATGTATGTTTCTACTTGAAATGTTGTTACTATTTTATGATTAAGATTTTTGTTGTAATCATAGAAAAGAATCAAACTGTCTAACAATATATTGGATATCATTAAATTGACTAAGAGATTGAATTGGTAGATCAGAACTTCAATTAGTTCATTGAAAGAAGATATAACAATGGTGTGTATGCAAGTGTATACAAAAAAATCAACGGATTCTAAAAGGTACTTATGTAAAAATTCAGTTTACTCTCTTCTAACGATGAGCATACTTGCTAGAACTCTAATGAACAGAAGTAACAAACTAAAGATAAACAGACTGTATTACAACAAATCTTATCTACACTTAAAGCAATAATTATCTTCAATAGTTTCGGAAAAAATGATTATTGAAAATGAAAATATACTGGATTGTTTTTAGAAAGAGAATGAAAAAGCACAATTGTCATCACATACAATAAAGATACATTGGAAGAAGAATAAAAAAAGCTTATAAATCAATCTAACACAAAAGTCTATGATTGAGATCATGAACCGATTGATAAGAGACCACCATTGAAAATATGGAAGTACTGGACGACCGTATCTTCCTAGTATGGGACTCCTCAGTAGTGCATATCAATGACCCCTTTAGTGGGATACGAACCCGTGGCCTTCGTTCTCGCGCGCGAACGGTGAACCTCCAAACGACTGAGCCGGCATCCAACGGTGTTATTGTCTAACTTCAACCAATCCACGATATTGCGCAACCATCTTTCGTGGATCCGCGCTATTGAAGAGTCCCACAATAGGACAAAACAGCCGTTTAGTACTTTTAGGTTTTCAATGGTTGTCTAACATCAATCGGTTCATGATCTCAATCAAAAAACTTAATAATCTTCACAGCCCCATACTGACAGAAGTCTGTTACTGATCTAGCGATATCATTAGATTAGGATTAGTGGTACTGGATTATAGGTTACCAAATGTGTAACAACAAGACAATGTTTATGAGATTAAATATTATAAGCACAATATGGTGTTTTTGTGTTATGAACAAGAGAGGTGAGGGACAACCTAATTACCTTCTAACACGAAATTACAGAGTTATCTGATAAAATGTGATAACTATGCATTAAATCCTTTATTCACAAAATGTCCATTAATTGTCTAAGCCTTTCTTGTTCCTTCATTTCCGTAATAGTTACTCTCTGTTCTCATTCTCTTCTAATCGATCTTCTGAACGTTCTACTGTCAGGTATTTCATTTCTGATTAGTATTATATACTACTTATGTTGACATAAATAGTACTTCATCATATGTGAACGAAACATTCAATCAGTTCCATATCATGGTAAAGAAATACAAACAATATTTTTGAAACATATTCCTAATACCTCAAATAAACTTAATCAACTTGAGAATAGATCAACAAAATATATAAAGAACAACTATAAGATAAAGCTGATTAAATATTTGAGGAATTAAAACAATTTCAATAGAAAGAATAGGATACAGTTAACTACATCATAGTAACTATTAATAAATAGATAGATACATTAACTTCAAGATCTACTATCTGAATCTTGATAATTAATAGATGAAACTATGATTTATATTCAGACCAATCAAATTAAAGATAGTATCTTTTATATATATTTTTCAAGCAAAATTTAACCAGAAGGGTTTTTGTGGATATTATAGTAATTTCAATGGTTGAAATCATGAGTCAATTGAAGCTAGACAACCATGGAAAACCTGGAAGCACTGAAAGACCGTTTCGTCTTATTGTGAGACTCCTCAGCAGTGCGCATTCACGATCTCGCCTTGCGGGATTCGGACCCAGGTTCTACTGGTCCCAGTAGAATTAAACCGAGTCAGTTGTGAGATAGTAACTCACTGATGACAATGGTAGATGTGTCGCTCAATTTAGTGAATTAATTGAAGTTAAACATTAACACCGTTAGATGCAGGCTCAGTGGTCTAGTGGGTAAGTGCTTGCGCGCGAGACCAGTAGGCCCCGGATTCGAATCCCGCGAGGCGTGGTCGTGGATGCGCACTGTTAGGGAGTCCCATACTAGGACTAAACGGTCGTCCAGTGCTTTAAGCTTTTCCATGATATATATATATATATATATATATATATATATATATATATATATATGAAGTACATTCAGATAGTGAGATTACCTGACTTTAGTACTGGTAAACACACTCAAACTCCTCTAATACATAATTATCTACTAACACATTTAAATATCTTATGTAAAGTGTAGTTGATAAACGAACCCATCAATGACGACAGGAAACGTTCACCACCACCACCACCACACTAACTTTTTTTGACCTTGTATGATAATGCTTTGATTATTCACCAATCATAATTTTATGTTTATCATGAACAGTATTAAATTAGTTGACTTATTTTTCCTATATTGTAGTTACTATTCCGTATGTTATTTATGTCTCTTTTTTTCCTGTTTAGTAGACTGTATTAATTGTTTATTATGTATACGAACAGTGTTAATTTACATTTTAGAAATAGATGTAATTTATCAAGCCAAATAGTTTACTTGTTCTGACTTTTGCTACTCTAAGTCTCTGTGATCGACAGTCTAGGGAATAGTTTGGAAGTACATCTTTAGGACATTACTTCCTACAGCCTGTTAATATTAATACTAATACTGTGACTACTACTACCACTACTATTACTACTACTTCTATTAATAATAATAATAATAATGACTCTATGTAATATTATATGTTTAGCACAATTAGGAATTCTCAACACAGAATAATTCAACAATATATATATACCAAATTAAGTCAATAAACTACCTTGAACTAAATGGAATGTCTTTGTTTTTATTTGAAGATTAGAATCTGAACTACTACTTAATTATTAGAAACATGTTTAAGAATACAAGTTGTTGATTAGTTCAGCTTTAACAACTGGTTCATCACATAGTATGAGATATTGTAGAGCTTTTGTATCTTTACTTGAGTGTATGAACTCTAATATATTGATATCTTATTCTACCAGAGGATATACAAGGAAAAAGATATGAATGAAGTGGATGGTTAGTATCTAATAAGATAACACCTACCATGGGTTTACAATATTTTAGATATCTATCTACAACCATATTAATAATGACATTTGAAAGATTCACCACATACCCTGTTAACTGCCTTCATAATTCTTCGTAACACAGTAAAGTCTTTCCTCAAAAGCCCGGGAAAGAACAATGGAGAAGAATAGTAAAGCATAATAGGTAATATGCAAAAATTCATAAATCGTAAAAGTAAATATCGAGTAGTGCCAAGAGAATGTACCCTCTTTATATAATATGTTGAATATAAAACTTTCTTCGACATCAATAAGACATGAGAAGACGAAAAAAGATCAAAGGAAAAACTTATATCAAGATAAATGACCCTTGACAGATTCTATGACAGAATTTCCAATTTTACAAATTTCATAGGTTTCTAACAGGGTGTTTTAGTGTTATTTATGTTTTCGACTAAAACTAACAGTTTGGCACTTAGAGGGATTAAGTGTGAGACCGTTAACAATACACTATTGTTTAACGACAGACAAGAACTAAGTTATTTTAAAGGGATTTGAAGAGGAAGAAATTGGCGTACGTATTGTGAGATTATCCACATACTTAAGAAAAGTATCTTCCGAGAAAGATGGCAGATCATGCCCAAAAAATGAGAGAATCGAAAGGAGAAAGATCAGCTCCTTGTGGCACACCTTCGTGAGTCAATAGAGACGCTGAACACTTTCTTCCAAATACAATGTGCTGTTCTCTTCTATAGTGGTAGAAACACGTCCATTTGGTTATCCACTTGCCAATGTAGATACTAATAAACTATTCAAGCAGTAGTTGCCTTAGAATAGAGTTAAAGGTAAAAGTAAAGTCCAGAAACTCACATCGGACATACGTTTTGCTCCTTTTCATGCTGAACAGTATATTATGATGCAGAACAACAGCACCATGTAAAGTGATTCTTTTGCATTTGTAAGCAAACTTAAACGGATCAACGTGCTCTTTCAGTGCAGGTTTAAGTGGGACTAGTAGTGACTTTTCTATTGTTTTGAGAAAAAGCTAACTTACTGCTATGGGTCTAAATTTTTCATTCTTATCATCAGATACTTTATTTGGTATCGGGATTAGATTTATCTTTTACCACATCTTCTGTATAAGGTTAGTTGGAAAGACCTTATTAGACATGCTCGTGAACGGATAACACAAAACATCACCACATTTCCTAAAAAGGTGGTTCGGGACTTCATCAGGTCCAAAACAATCGGATGAGTTAAGTGACTGAAGGAACTTTTTTTCACATCAGTTTTAGCAGAACTAAAGATAGTGAGTCATTTGTCAATAAATCCCATTTTGTCATGCAAAACATGTTTTTCAGATGTTGTATATTATATTCTAAGTAATCCCTGTATTTAGCTTTCTTTATCTGATGTAAGAGCTTACGCTTCTCAAGCTCTCTACATAATTTAGGTAGAACATGAATAATACAATGATCAGAACTAAAGAGTACAGCACATTTACGAGTCACATATGTTCCCATATGATTAATGAAAACTAAGTCTAAATACACATAAGAATGAGTGAAAGAATTGACTACAATTTGGTGACCTAGTGATAAAAGGAAACTACAGTCATGTGAGTTAAAATCACCAAATATAAATGAAAGTGAAGATAATAACAGTAAATTTGTTGAATTCATCAATAAAAAACGATAGTGTTAAGTGAAGTTTGGAGTCACATAAATGTTGATAACCTAAACATACTTGTATTTGTTCAGGTGTTTTAGACGACGTCTTAAAGTTAAACAATCGATAAAGTCGTTATGTAACTTAGAACACGGGAAATTAGATCAAAATCAGTTCACATTTAAAGTGGAGCCGACTATTAGAGTTAGCGATCACTTGATGCAAATTATTTACCAAGTACAATTAATTCACTTGGTATTGTTTTACTTAAATCTTCCGATTGATGTTTAGGACTGTAATTGATCAGTCTCTTATTGACATATGTGGATACTGTGCGTATTGCCTCGATATTGCCTTAATTTACAAGCATTATAAGCAAAGATGGATAGAGGCTAGCAGTGGAATCCAGTTTAACGCGCGTTTCGTCCAGCTGACGAGTCCTAAATAGGACGAAACGCGCGTCAAACTGGATTCCACTGCTAGCCACTTTCCATCTTTGCTTAGAAGTACAATTAGTTATACTCACGGCTCTATCACACTATGTGAACGATAGTCATACTACCAAACTGATTAAACGAACAAGATGGAGTATGGCTCAAAATTGCAATCTATCACTTGATAGTCAACTTCATTAAAACGGATAAGCAATCACGACGTTTGTCGGTAGGATTCATACAGTGAGGAGACCTGTATGCAATCAGTAAGTTCCAGAAACTCTACGCAGTCGATTCTTTCATTCTCATTCCTATGACACATAATTATTCTGCAATTTTTGTAAAGTACGTAAGCCTGTTGAACGTAGAATGAAACGAAAATTGTCACCTCCCTACATAGATTAAAGTATAGCGATGTAATTATATGACCGGATAAGTAGGAAATAACTAGTTACCAACAAAATATCTAGCATCATACAACCCTTACATCCAACTAGTTACTTCGAAAATCACAGAATTCATCTTGTAGAAATATGTGATTCAGACCAGGTATCATTACCTAACAGTAACGATTACTAGTTTATAAATAGTGTTGTAACAGTTAAATACTTATACTAAACAACTTACTTTCGAAACTACTTGCATTTTCTCGAGAATGACCAGCCACCTGGAAGGCATATGATTCCGTACATGTAGGTAGAGGGGGAACGTCACCAAACATTATCGATGTGTTTGATAAACAAACGACCGGTTCCCTTAGAGTCCTACAATAAAATATAAAATATGGTTTATTCTAATTCATTTGACGTCATTGAAATAATCCTGTCTGATTTAATAACCACTACAAAAAACACTGTACTAGTTCATTATTCCAGGTTCATCTCTTAAGTTAACCAGCCTTTTTAGGATTTCCTGAAAGGACAACTTAAGTTGAAGGATTATAGAAAACATTTGAAAATCAAAGATCTGACCAAATAATCGATTTGATTCGTCACTAACCATCAAAATGAAAATCTAGAAAGTATCTCCAGAACTACTGAGACTTCAGTAATAATGTTTTCAACTTTTGGGATGTTGACTTTAAGATCTTGTAAATGAGTGTATACTTCACTACAATACATGGCATATTTTATATACAACTAGTCAGTTATATAAAACATAGAATCTACTATAAATATGCATTAAATCAGTTTTTCATATCACTTCAATTCAGTGAGATAAAATCAAAGAAACAGATACAATAATATATTCACATTGTGTTGTTTACTTGTGACGCGATGGCGTTTAAGACGAACGGTGATGGGTTCGAGTTCCAGAGTGGACATAAATTCTGAGATGCAGGTTCATTCAGGACTGATGAGTTTCAAATAGAACGAAACATACGTTCTGGATTCCACTATTAGACACTATTCATCTTTGCTTAGATGCAATAGTAGTTGAAATAGTAGTAATATTAATAGTAGTGTTAAAAACAAAAAAATGTTCGAAAAAACAAACGATATAATTTGATAAAATCAATCAATTCGTGACAAAAAAATTGAACACAAAAATTTTTGATACTCAATTTCTAAGATTAGACAAAGTACAGAGACGTTAGTACCACTGTAATTAATTTTAAGCTGACTTCATGTTCTTACTTACTTACTTTACTTACGCCTGTTACTCGCAATGGAGAATAGGCCACCGACAACTTCATGTTCTACCACCAATTTATTAATTTATTTATTTGAACACATAAATATTGGTATAAAGGGGCACTGAATACATATGCACCACACGAATCACTTGATTTGTGTGTGAACTATGATACTACCCGGATACTTAAACCAAAGCAGATTCTATTATTAATTACTAATAATGATCAACATGTTTTATCTTATATGATGGGGAAGATTTCTAGCTCAAGTGGATGATTTTGAATCAATCAACATCGAGGTGTACAAGACAAACGGTGATCCATATGTAGAAAAATTCAAACACTCTACTTCTATCTGAAGTTTGTTTTGATGATAACGTTCTAAAGAACAATGAAATCTCCACAACTAAATCATCCAGCTCAAAGAACAAAATTCCATTAAAATTTATCTTATCTATTTAGATATTATGTAACATTTATTTTGTATACAAATAAATTTAGCCAATTAATGATGATATTGAATACAGAGTTTTAGTGTAATTAAGTCTATAGAATTCATCACAGTTTCTAAGTTATTCATTATAAGAAAATAGGATAGTATAGTAAAACAAAAGAAAAAATTAAAAATAAAAGATAATAAAATGTATCTACATACCAAATAGTAATAAATGATTGTAACCAAATGAATTGAATGGAAACTATTCATTATATATATATATATATATATATATATATATAAGAGACTATTTAATGATTGGGTAATAAACAATAACCATTTCGAGGTCAAATTGAGTTCAAATAGTGGGTGTTTAAAATTAAATTATTATTGGTTAATTCCATTTTTGAACTATAATCAACATTCTATGATTGGATTCAACGTTACACCAGAATATCCGATACCATTTATTCCCATCTAATCAGATTAGAACAAATTGTACGTTTCAAAATTCATATTTATTTATTTATTTATTTATTTTTTCGAATTTTTTCTTTAGTACAATATAGAATTCTTCAGAGTTATTTTTTCTGGTTAGCGTTTTTTTAGCGAGTTAGGTTTCTACGGGATGGGGACGCTAACCCTATGCCCAACCCTCCTCCTTTACCCGGGCTTGGGACCGGCAGTAACTCTGGAAGAGCTACAGGCGGAGTTAATATAGAATTCTTAGTACAATGTATTTCAATAAGCTTCTTACTTCTTGGTTGATCCTAACGATAAATATTGAATGATTGTCAATTCAATGTTAACAGTTCAAGAATTGACATTTGAATAATGTACATTCTTTTTAATGTATATTGTCAGCAACAACGATGTTTCTATAGGCTTTGTTTTTTTCGTAATTTATACAGTGAAAAGTTGTAAACTTTTCATAAAGGCACCTGAATAGGTTAAACGATAAACAGATAACTTGTTGAAATATATAGATAAATGATAGGAACAGGTAGCTCAGATATTCAAGCAGGTCATCAATATTCAATATGGTATCTTAATTGTCTGGTGTGACACAACTAGTTATTTACAACTGAAGAATATCTGGAACTCAAAACAATTAGCAACCAACACGGAAGTCAGAATTTTCAATACAAATGTCAAAACAGTTCTACTGTATGGGGCGGAAACCTGGAAAACTACGAAATCCATCGTCCAAAAGATACAAGTGTTTATTAACAGTTGTCTACGCAAAATACTTCAGATCCGCTGGCCGGACACTATAAGCAACAACCTACTGTGGGAGAGAACAAATCAGATCCCAGTGGAGGAAGAAATCAGGAAGAAGCGCTGGAAGTGGATAGGACACACATTGAGGAAAGCACCGAACTGCGTCACAAGACAAGCCCTCATATGGAATCCTCAAGGTTGAAGGAAGAGAGGAAGACCAAAGAATACATTACGCCGAGAAATTGAGATAGATATGAGAAAAATGAACAAGAATTGGATGGAACTAGAAAAGAAGGCCCAGGACAGAGTGGGTTGGAGAATGCTGGTCGGCGGCCTATGCTCGATTGGGAGTAACAGGCGTAAGTAAGTAAGTAAGTAAGTCACTTATGGTTTAGTCATGTACGCAGTGTAATACTATGTTAGGGTTGAGTATTCAATATATATTACAAGATGGGTCTATGAATGATGAATGAAGTAGAAAAGAGGTGAAATCGTTTTGATGTCTTTATCTTATAAATGGATACTGTGTAAGAAGTAATTCAAGGAAATATAGGAGTTAAGATATTTTCCGTTTGTTCACAATTATTGGGTGAATAATTGGAAGAAGGTCAATTGTTCTATAGGCAATTAGCGATTAAGTGAATAAACGAATAATAGCTAATTAATCCTGTAATTGTTAACTATTTCATGAGGGTCTAAATAGAAGAATAAAAAACTGCTTCTGGAATATACAACAATGTGAATTAAGTCAGAACAGGTATTTTCTAATCTTCTGATATGTTGTCAAAAGTAGAATGAATGTTGATCTGTGTATCAACAGAACTTGTCTTATTACATTTATCCTATTTGTTGACATTTTTTTCAGTCCATTTTCACAGTGTACTTTTAGTTAATATTTGGAAACAAAGTGGAATCTGATATAGTGCAACGTACAAACAAGTCACATTGTGAACAAACCCAAACATACTAAATCATATCATACCTTTTATATCCAGCTAATGCGAAATCGGTCCAGACTTCGTGATGCCAGTTTTTGCATTCATCTGAATATCATTCTCAAGTAGGTAACGACAACCCGGACTTTGATAGATACGCATTTTCAGTATGAATCATTTTCAAAGTTCGTGCTTAAATTAGCAGATCTTCAACGCCTCAACAGTGCACAAGTTTTTGATTTGGCCTCCCTTGATCAAGTTCTTTTGATTGTGTAGATTATTTTGAAGGAAGACTCCTTTGGAGCATTATGTTTAGAGTTGATCAGGCGCTTCTATATTAAACTGGTGATTGTTTTACTTTCTGCTTTTAAAAGCCTTACTGGGGTAATAGTCTGAGATGAGTTTAAAATGTTGTCACTTTGTGAGGCCAATGCAACCTGTTCCACAAGAGCAAGTAAATTTATAGATGGATATCAATGTAGCGCAAAGAGAATATTATCCTTAACGTATTCTTACTTAACCTTGATTCTATTCTGCAGTATGCTATGGCCTTGTTTGTTTTTCAATTATTTTATAATTATAATCAGAGAGGTGCTTTGTGGATATTATAGTAATTTAATAGTTGAATCCATGAGTCCATTGCTGAAGAGTCCCATACTCGGATGAAACGACCGTTCAGGTTTTCCATAGTGGTCTAGCATTAATTGATTCATGAGTTCAACTGCTTTATAATTGTAAGCCGTAATCAGCTATTCTTATTATTATTGTTATTAACACCGTTGAAGGTCGGCTCACTGGTCTAGTGGTTAAGCGCTCGCGCGCGAGACTGAAAGGTCCTTGATTCTAATCCCGCAAGGCAGCATCGTGAATGCGCACCGCTGAGGATTCTAACAATAGACAAAACGGTTATCCAGTGCTTCCAAGTTTTCCATGGTTGTCTAGCTTCAATTGACTCATAAGTTCAACTATTGATATTATTGTTATCCTTTTACAATTTCCAATGTTTATTATTCAATTGTTATTATGGTATTTACCTTTTTTTATTTTTCTTCATATCTGTCAAGTGGAAAATTGCCTTTCATAATTCTGACCTGTTAATAATTTCCATCCTCCTATTCATCTTTAACCCCCAGATTGCGTTACCTCATTTGATATTTAGTCTCGAATCGATTTATGATGTAATCTTTTCTATCCTTCTATTAACATATATATATATATATATATATATATATATATATATATATATATATATATCAATGATTAAGATCATGAGTCAGTTGAAGCTAGACCACCATGGAAAACCTGGAAGCACTGGACGGCCGTTTCGTCCTATATATATATATATATATATATATATATATATATATATATATATATATATATATATATATATATGTACCAATGTACAGCTCAAGTAGATAATTTCCTCTAAAAGAAAAAAATTTCTTTGCTGAATTATCTTCATTTTTCATTCAAAAACCGGTTGTTTCATG